GTTATAAATGGAGGTTGTTGAACCCTTTGCCCAGCTTTTTAAAAGACGAATATTTTTCTCTTGGTGGGTTAATTTTTTTTTTGGCAGAGTGTTTGGGAGAGATGTGCACACCTGCCCTTGAAACCCCCTTTTTTTGGCCCAGTTCCCCCTTTTTCCGAGCTTGTTTTTTTGTGTGCAAACATCTGCGGAGGACGTTGAACCCCTTTTTTTTCCGTCGAACCCCTTTTTTGCGAGGGCGGAAAGAAGAGAAAGAGGTCTTCTAGTTGATATTTTTTCGAGTCTGAATGAGAAAGAAAAAAATTGGAGGTTTTTTTGGCAGCGAAAGGTAATTTGGGCTATTTTGAGATGGATTTTCTTATGCCTTTTATTTGCTATAAAAATTGCAGAACAATCTACAGTGATTTATTATATTTGAATCGACATTCGAAATTCGGCAAATATGGTCGAATACGATTTTTAAAATTTTTTACCACGACATATTTTAAAGAATTAATGAGCGGTTTTTGTTGGACCAGTAATTCAATGAATTTTTCAAAAGCAAATTTCAGTGATATGCAAAATAATAATTTTAAAATCCTCCTAAATTCGAATGCTGCTGATGAAAATCAATTCACAAATTTTGTCGAATACGTTTAATTGATATTTTCGCTTCGAACCAAGTGACAATTTTTGAAGAAAAAAATTGAAAATTCGTCAGACGAAATTTTTCATGGAATTCAGGAAGCTTTTGTTTGCTTGGTTTTGAAAATTAAAATGTTGCCTTGATTTGAGTTTATCTGAATATGCTCAGAATAGAAATCATCATTGGAATGAATCAACGGATTTCAACCCACTTGAATATTCGTGAGATTTTAAATTTTTATACAACTTTCTGAACAAGATTCGGATTTTTTTAATATTTACTCAGGTTTCAAAATATTTGTGTGCGAGAAATTTCATACGTTTCAAATTTATGCGTCATTTTTTCCGCACTTTCTTTTTGTGCCACTTTGATGCATTTTGAACTGAGTGGAGACCTTCGAAAAAAAGCAGATAAAAGATAATTTTCGTGGCTCGTGCAAAAAGAAGGCCATGATAGATTCGAATTTTTTTTTTGCAGATAAGGTGAGAAATTCAACTGCTGATTGGCAAGAACTGAAGTGAAAAATTGACGGCGTTTCAAAGTAATTCTTTTTTCATGATTTTTGTCCTTCTGCTGGGCAAATGCAATCAGCAAAAGAATTTCAATATATCGAAAATTATTATGAAAATTTTTTCAATTTGCATTATCATCAAACAATTTCAAGGTTCCAACCCAAAATTTTGCGGTGCGAAAAATGCGAGGAAAACATGTGTTTTGGAAAAAAATAACACACTAAATACAGTCCAACCTCAAATGATTCTCCAGTTTTCAGAAAAAAGGTTCTTGAAAATGAATTTGGGTTACTGTATTGTATTAATTGTAAAAGGTTTAAAGAATTTACAACAGTTATGAAGAAATTGCTTCCTTTAAACTTTTTGTCACACCCCTTAATTCAGCTAAAGCACTTTTGTGTTGTTATCAGGAATCGCATTTTGTATAATTTTTTACTGCTATTAAAATACAGTGGGAAGGCTTTTGAATAAATGTACATAAATGATAAAACACCTGAGAAAATAGCCAAGACCAAAGAATGCAGAAATTAGGGGGTTGCAATGGGTTCACACAAGGTTAAAAATGTCCCTGGGCATGAAAACACACATTATCCATCAATCAAATCAGCAAGCAGGTCATGGTTGCCAACATTCAGCAATCCAACAACAAATCCTTCAAAAAACTGTAAAAGAGTTCAAACTTGAATGCGCAGTTCATGAAACTGTGCAACATTTTTCATCAAAACCACTAGAAATGCTTTTTATGAAAATTATTTGCCATTTTTGGATGTGTCTGAGTTTTTTGGTACACATTTTTTCATCATTGTCTAAAAAGGCTTTTATAGGCTTCCTGTCCTGGAACTCAGGTTGGAAAAAATATAACTTTCACATCTTGTCAACTGTTGCAAATTATGTTTTCAGCAGAAATGATTCAAATCAGCTCCAGGACTGACAGAAAAAGTCTGAATTCTACATTGCATTTTGCAAACTAGTGCTCATTGGAATAATCCTCTGACCTTTTCTCTAGAAGAGCCCTGAAATTTCATGTGTAAACAAATTCAACAGGCACAGCAAAAAAATAATAATAATAAGTGACTCTCAGCAAGGGTTGCCCAACATTTATGATTGACCCTGTTCTGATTTTTCTGGGAAAACAACATTATCATCATTGAAAAATTATTAAATTATCAACAGAATCTTCACTGAATAATTTTCAGTTGAGGTGAATAGCTGGATAAATATTGGATCCTAGGCAATCCACAATTTGAAAAATGAATAGGAATTTCATTTTCAAAACATTTTTACAGCAAATTGATGCTTTTAAAGAATTTATTTCTCCATCAGTTGCTCCTTCATTCGCACAATATTCTTTAAATTCCCATTTAGTTAAAAAAAATGTTGTGGCCAGAAATATTTTGCTGCAAGAAGATTTTTTGTAAATATATCTTCTGAAAGTTCTCTCTGTCAGTGCGCTTGTATTTTAATAAACATTTTGCTAAAAATTACTAATTGAAGGAAGTGTATATACTTTATTCTTTTTCAGCAGAAACATAACTGACAGAATAAGTATTTTAAACATACAAGGTTCAGTTTTGTGTGGAGGTACAATTTTTTTGTAAGACATTTTCCAAACCAATCAAATTTTTGAGACGTTCTCCCCGTTGAAATCCCGCAGGTAATCGAGTGAAATGGAAGTCGACACTGTCGTCGACGTGACGTGTTCGTCGTCATCAACTGTCTTGAGCAGATTGTCTATCGCTAATAACACGAATTTACTGCGAATGACGTCCCTTCCGCCGAGTTGCCAAGACCGTTGCTCGCCGGACTCATCCCGTCATGTGTTTGCGACATCTATCCCGGCTTCCGAGAAGCTCGCATTAAGCGTTTTCCCCGCTATTAACGGCAGTGACGCTCGTGGCGCTGGCGGTGATTCGGGAAGGCAACAGTGCGATTTCAGCAGCAGTGTTGAAAAGGCTGGATCAGTCGAAAAGAAACCACATCCCTTGTTCAGATGCCACTTGTGTTCGTATTCCGGAAACAGCAAGTACCATTTCAAGAACCACTTGGACTCGCATTTCCAGGCCAGGCAAATGCAACACGCCCAGTTGCAATTCCTTCACGCCACCAGCGCATTCCTACAAACCAAATCGGTAAGATTCCGAAGAAGTAATTGGCTAGATGATTTTTTGATGGATTACTAAGTATGTTACTCGCTGATTGTCACAGGCAACGGATGTAGAAATGGACGACGACGACACCGAAGACCGCATTATTCAGCCAGCATCATCGTCTTCGTCGGCGTCTGTATCTCCATCTCCCACCGGAAGTACAAATCTCGCTTCTACCACTCCAGTTAGTCTGACACAGATGTCGCTGTCACACTGTGAAAAGTCGCCGGAGCGAGATGCGCAGCTCGTTTCGACGGTACCGCCACCAGCAGCTGACAGCCAAGAGGTAACAGTTTCTTTCTGTCTTATTTTTCCGATGAGGCACCACATATCCCAAACCCCTCATTTTGTAGACCATAAAAAAAAATTTGTTCCAGATTTCTGGAGAATTTGATTCAGTGTATTGTGCATTATTTTATGCTTCAAGATGAGCGAGAAAGATTAGTTTTTACATGTACAGTTATAGTGCTGCATGATTGAATGTAGTATAGGTGGTACCTTGCAATTTTCTCAACTGGGGTCAAATTGCAAAGCAGTTGAATTGCAAGGCACTTAGTGAAATTCAAAAATATCAATGCAAAATGCAAGAAAAATGGCCAAATTAGGGTCAAATTGCTGGGCGAGGGTAAAATTGCAAGTCAACCTCCCTGCAAATTCAACCATTGAATTTCAGGACAGTTGAATTCCAAGGTACCACTTGTAGAGTATGTATAAAGATAAAAGTGTGAAATTTTAAATTTAAATATGAGGGGGAATTTTCTTTATGAAAAATAGCATTGTTTGTTCAGTAAAATGAGGATGATAACTTTACTTACAATGCAACTGCAGTACAGTAGAATGTTGTTAACTACAACCTCTCTGAGTCAAATACTGTACCTCCCAAAGTCAAATTTGTTTCAAGTCCAGTTCTAAATCCCATTAAAAACATTGCATGACAAACCCCTTTAGCACAAAGGCTTTTCCTCTAAAACGTAAAATACTTTTTCTGAAGCCGTTTAGTATATCATTTTCTTGGCAAGGGAAAGTAATAAAAAGTAACTTAATGTGTTTTGAAAAAATATATAAAAGACCAATTAAGAAAATGAACCCCTGTTTCCAATTTCAGGATCCTGTCAACTCATTTTAGAAGCAATTCAAGATGCAGAACATCACCAATGTCAATTCCCTGTAATGTTTCTTTCCTTTCTCCAAATAAAAAGGTTTTTTTTTCCTAAGTCAAACCCCCTCCCCCCCAAACTTGATTTTCACATGGACCTTCATAGTTTGCCTTCAAGAGGTTCAATAACTGTAAAATATCTTTTTAGAATTTGTTCATTCAACTAAACCTCATACAGAAACAAGCTAAAGACCTCGTACTTTAAATTAATTTTTACATATATTTTGTAATGCTGAAAAGCAGCAAATAAAGTGTTCTGTTCATTCATTATATAAAGTCTTTTGTTATAATGAATAATTTCTCACGTAACAAAGTCCCTTATATATTTGTCCAAGTCCAATAGCCACCAATTTTAAATTAGGTACTTTTTGACATACTTTTATTTATTAGCTATGCAATTTCACTAGCCTCCTTGGCTTTGCTGGAAAGATGATATTTTCACTGGCATCTATTTGTCCATTTCAGCCCTCTGAGGAATTGGACAAGACCAACATGAGCAGCGACGAGTGCAGCTCCAAAGACACCAGCACCACCGGAACCACCACAGGCACCAACAGCAACAGCAGCAACAAATCCCGCCTCAAGTGCAAACAGTGCGGGTTCGTGGCCACGGATAAGCAGGAGCTGTGGGCGCATTCCAGAGCCGAGCACATCAAGGCCGAGAGGGCGCTCAAGTGCCCCAAGTGTCCATTCGTGACCGAGTACAAGCACCACCTGGAGTACCACGTGAGGAACCACTTTGGGAGCAAGCCGTTCCGGTGCGACCAGTGCGCTTATGCCTGCGTCAACAAGTCCATGCTCAATTCCCACATGAAAAGTCATTCCACTGTCTATCAGTACAGGTGAGTGAGTTTGAGTTGTCTGGGATTGATTGATTCATTGATTGATTGAATGCTTCATTGATTGATTGAATGCTTCATTTGCCACTTGCAAAAGTAAAAGAAATTCATTTCAGGTCCTTCTACAAAATTATTTCACACATTCCAAAATATATCAAAAATGATTTATTACAGTTGAACCTTGATAACTCAAACCTCCCCAAGTCAAGTAAAACTCCATAAGTGAAATTTGAGTTCGCATCAAAATTCTATCATGAACAATACAGTCCAAACCCCACCCCCAAACAAACTCAATTTGTGCATGGGACTAATCTGTTGAGTAAAAAGTATTACTGTATATGCAAATTCAATTATTAAAAATTAGAATTTTTACCATCAATTTTAAACCAAACAAAGTCTGTTATGCTCATTTAGTTCATAGTGCAGGAAGAAAAACTGCCTCCAGAGGCAGTCTGTTGTGCAAAAATCTGTTGTGTGGGAGGTCTGTTGTACAGGGGTTGACTGTACATTGAAAACCTCTCCAACTCAAAGGTAGCAGTACATACATAACCTACAAACCAGCTTAATTTGAATTTTCTTAGGCCTTTTGGCTATTATTTTCTTGACACAGGAAATAAAAAAATCAATAAAAATAAAATGGTGTTTGTTGAAATGAAGGGAAAGACTAATTGAGTAAATCAACCCTTGTCTCCAATTTCAGCATCTTGTTGATCCATTTCAGAAGCAATTTAAGCAGCAAAATTATGACAATTTAAAATTCCTTGCAATTCTTTTACATTTCCCACAACAAAAATGTTGGTTTTCTTAACTCAAAACCTCCCAAATCCAAAATATCTCATTATACTGTATAGTCAAAAACCTTTGTAAATTGAACTTGAAACTTGAAAGATGATGTAAATCAATGCAATTTCAAGTTCATGAAAGCAGGAATGTTCTTTGTGATTAATATCTTGCTGTATGAAGATATAGAGGTAGTACCTTGCAATTTCATCCTAATCTATTGTCAAACTAGGGTCAAATTGCAACTTTGACAAATTGTAAGACACAAACATAAAATTCAAAAATATAAGTACAAAATGCAAGAAAGTGGCCAAAGCAGGTCAAATTGCAGGGCAAGGGTCAAATTACAAGTCAACCTCCCTGCAAATTTGAACATTGAATTGCAGGGTGATCAAATTGCAGGAAGTCAAATTGCACTGTACTAAACCTGTATTGTGAGAGTCCTCAACATCTGAAAAACATTAAAAATTTTTCACTTGTGTTGAGGGGAGCATTAGCACCTGATGAAGTGGAAGTCCACTAAAGAGCACATCATCTTGATTTTATTATTATTTTTTGCATTTCCAACCAAATAGATGTGCAGACTGCTCATATGCCACCAAGTATTGCCACAGTCTGAAACTGCACCTGCGGAAATACAACCACAATCCAGATGTTGTGCTGAATGCAGATGGAACCCCCAACCCCTTGCCCATTATTGATGTTTATGGAACCAGAAGGGGTCCAAAGGCCAAGAAGCAACCAAAGAAAGAGCCTGCAACTTCATTTTTGCCTCTGCTGGGTGGACTCCCAATGGTTGGTAACCCTGGTGGGCAGAACCTGCAGCAGCATCAGCAACAGCATCAACCACAACATCCTTGGGCCACCATGCAACAGGTGAGAGAATACACTTTCATCAGACCAATAACTAAACTTCATTGTCTCTGTAACTTTAATAAAATCATCAAATTACCTTACAAAATTAAAATGTGTTTGTGCTCAACAGCCAACCTGAGCCATGCAAATTTGGAGTAAAACATTACTCACTGGGAGAAGGTGACTCACATGAAAAATTTTTTTTCTGAATTAAAATGTTTTTTAGCCAAAAATGACAGCATTTCCAGTAATTCAAAGTAAGCATCTTCTTCTGAAAATTGACCAACAATTTCAAAAAATAATATAGTCTTCTCCAGCCCCAAGTTTGAAATTTGAGCAAGTTGAGAGCTTAATTGCAATGGTCAGGATTTTTAAAATTAATTCAAGGCAGGAAATTATTTGCTAAGAAATGGATGGAATAAACACATTTTCAAGCTGATTTTGTGGGTATGTCTGAAAACACATAAAGGGAAATCACTTTTTTCATGAATACAAAATATTTAAAAAATAAATCTTTGTTATACTGAATGTTTTTTTATTCCAGACTATTGCAAAAATAGTCATTGCCAGTTCTGCAATAAAGGGCACACCAAAAAAATGCTTTTCTTCTCTTCCTCAATCAAGCACACGCCAAATCTGTAAAAAAAAATTTGCCAAATTTCAGCAAAATTCCAAAAGTCCGTTAACCGAGACACAATTGCATATCACTATTCACCTTATTCATATAATCACATTACACAAGGTCGTGGCTCACTTGTTGCGCCAGGCAGCCCCCGAGCAACTCGTGGACCACCTGCTGCAGGGCCAAGGCCCTCAGTTCCAGGGCCAGCTCCTGGGCCAGGGCCAGGGCCAGCCGAAGCGCAGCACCATGCCGCCACGGGGTGCCCTGCGCTGCAACATGTGCACCTTTGTCACAGCTGATCGGAAGCAGTTTTCCCAACACGTGTTGCTTCATGCAGCCAACGAAAGCCGATTGCAGGGACACCAACAACCGATCGTCTGCACACCCAACACCAACAACAACAACAACCACCAGAATAATGGTGGCAAGACCGGCTACTCTGAGGTGGATGAAGAAGAATTTGATGATGATGATGTTGAAGAAGAAGAAGAAGAAGAAGAAGGAGAAGATGATGAGGAAGATGAGCACTGCAACAGCAGGGGATTAGTTGAGGAAGAGGACGAGATGCAAGACCAAGATGAAGTGATGGGTACCATGAATGTCATGCCGGGTCTTTTGCCAAGAACCCAGGATTCCCGTTTCAACAAGGACAAAGGTGAAATTAAATAATGGATTCTCAAGAAGAAAAGTTCCTATTTTTAAAGGTTGCAAAATGAAACAAGTTAGCCTATTTGGAACCGCAATTGAGATCTGTATAAAGTGAGACCCTGAGATGCCGACGTAATTGGTGCATTGAGAGTATTCCCAAGTCAAAATGTCCCTAAGTCAAGTCTTGTTTTCCCATAGACTTACATTATATATTTTTAATTGGTGTTTTGTGGAAGGAATATTCTTCAGAATTCCCTGAAAAAAGTGTTTGCCAATTGAATTTGAATTAGTGAATACATTTTCAACTCAACAAGAGCATTTGAAGGATTGAATGGTGTATCTCTGTACTGTACACCGAAATTTTTGCATCTACAAAAATAACATTCAAGTGAAAAAAAGGAAGTACCTCTATGCTAGAAGTAATTTTTTAAAATTAGCTAAATGGATGGTAATTTGGTGAGAGAAATGCCCAAGAACTTTTTTTGCATCAATTTTAGGGTTGGAAATATATGTTTCTTGTAATTTGGCCTGAAATCTATTTTGCAATTTTATCACAAAATGTCCCCATGTTGAGTCAGTGTCCTCATGTGAGGCCTTATTTATTTATTTTTTCTGGGAAAATAAGTGTCCCTATGTCAAATTGTCCGCAGGTTCAGGCGTCCGCATGTGGGGGTCTCACTGTATATACCCATCAGAAGAAAAAAATTCCTTGAGATTTGTCACAGGAGCTTGCAGTAAAGTGAAATTTCCACATTTAAATTCAGAGGAATTTTTGGAAAACGTCCTGGAGACTGATTTTGCATTTCTACCGATTATAAAGTGGTTACAGAGTTTATATTTGATATTATTTTGAAAAATTAACTCTGTATTTCAACTCACCATGGAGTACACGTTACTTACACTAACCACGATACAAACAACATACTAATAAAGAAAATCGTTTATATTTATAGGGTCTCTGAAGATAGTCTACAGTAGGTTAAAATTCTAACAATGATAAATTAATAAAAAAGTAATGTTATGAGACCTTAATTAAAATGAAGGAAATAAAAGATGTAAAGTTCTCTTGATGTCTCTCAAGTCTTTACTTTATAAAACTTACCATTGTGTCTTTTCTTTATCCAGATCTGGTAATTCTGGTAATTTCTTTTTGTGGGATTTTTCCTGACTTTGGCTACTCAGCCAAAGCTGTGTTTTAGTGACCTTTTGTCAAACCAAAATTCAGGAGAGTGCTAAAAAAATCCTGGCACTGCTCCGCAATACAAAAAAACCCACTATTGCCCAAGAGTTTAACCATTGTGCCAAGGCAATACAATTTTCTGAATATGCTAAGTACAGTATTGTACTTTTCTTGCTAGAATTTCATACAAGAATTGAACTACAGTACTGTGCAACAAAAGATGCGGTGTTTTTCTCTCTATATATATACAGTATAGAAAAAATTGGGATTCCCTGGCAAATGATTACTATTTGTTGGAATATTGTTAATGCTAAATTTATTGCTGAATGAAGCAATTCATTTTGAAAGTGACATTTTTGGAAAATACTGAAGCTGGAGATCTTTTCTGCCTTATTGAATTGTCATTATATGAGGATCACTAGGGTGTGATTGTAACATTTCATTCATCAGCACTCTGTAACTGATGTTTTGTTATGACTTTTTCGCTGTCAGGGTTTCCTGGAAATCAAGTTCCCTGGCCTTTGGGCAATCTGTTGCAGTCTCCTTTGCCAGCCACAGGAATGAATTCTTCAACTTTGCCATGGAACAAGCACCCAACCGATTCAGTGCCTTCTCCTTTGGACCTCAGCAGCAATTTTGTGTGTCTTTAGGTTTTAAAATTTTTAGAAAATTTTAACATTTATCGACAATGTGGGTCGTGAAGGACATTGTTTAATAAAGGACCCCAACCTACTCCCTTGCAACGAACTTGGAACACTTAACGACTTTTCCAGAACAATAAAGCTTGATCAATCAATTAATCATTTCTGTGCACATAGGTCTCCATCATCAGCTCGGTAGTTTCTTCTTCCTTCGGGGGTAAGGGGTAGTCCGTGGTTGTTGATGTTCTTGGTAAAGGGTTACAGTGGAGGTTCGAGTCGGTCGTTTGTTTTAGCGGCGTTCCCGTTTCGACACTTTAAGGAGCGCAGTGCCTGGAGTCCACTTCCCATCAGCAACAGCACCACCTTCACTGCTGACCACCACCACCAGCACACCACTATTCCACCACCACTGCTACCATCAGCAGCAGCAGCAGCAGGAGCACCACCACCACTGATACCATCTCTGGCAACCACCAAAGTGCCAGAATACAACCCCTTGTCCCCAGAAAGTCCTCCAAAGTCAGTGTTTGAGCCAGGAACACCACCAGCACCACCACCAACAGCAGAAACAACAGTGATGAGTAGAACCATCACTGCCTCGGGGCATGAGGTGGTAGATGTCGACATCATCGACACAGCAGCTGGCAATAAATCCTCGGATCAGGAGTTCACGTGCCAATTCTGCGACATGGGGTTCAAGGAGATGCTCTGCTTCAGGGGAAACGTGCAACTTCCAACGAGTCGATTGCTCAATAACTTCAGCCAACATTTCCAGTCTATCTCGAAAATCAAAACGGGTACTTGTTTTGTTTTTGAGTCGAAAATCGTGGGTCATTACTTTGTGTGCAGAAAAAGAGAGCAAAAAAACCTAGTCCAGGTTATTCAGAGGCATGATTAATTTTTTGGTATCTAACTGAGTCGTTTTTTTATTTTTTTTTGTTGGGGACGTATATTCTTGTGCTGGTGTGTGGACAAAGTGTGTTGTTTTTGGTGGTTATTTTTTTCATCTGGTGGGACCATTTGTGTGTGTAAATGTGTGGGTCTGATGTTTGAGGAATTTTCCTTTTTTCTTTCTATAGAAAAGAGACGAGGAAGAGAATGAAGAGATGTATATTTCTTGTCAGAGGCAACAAAGCGTTCTTAATTCACTCATCCATGCCAAAAGTTTAATTAGATTTTTAGAATGGCATTGAAATTTCTTGAATTTTTGATATTTGCCCTTAGACTAAAATCAGAACATTTTGAATCACCTCTACTTTCTACAAACAAATTTTAAAAGCTTTGCAAACATTTAAATTAAATATATTTCTTTTGTTATCCCTTTTATGTAGATTACTATTATGTTTGTGTGTCTCCTTAATACAGGGCTGCATTGAAACAAGTAGAAAGTCTATTAAGACAAAAATAGTCTTTATTCCTTATTACGCAAGGTATTATACAAATGTACAATAACCACTCCACAAGACACTGGGGATCTGAACCTATCCAAGTTAATCACTCAAGACCTGATGCTAGAAATGTTTGATTTCCAATATATTAACAGGGATTTACATACCATGATATTTAGTGGTAAATCAGGAAGGGGAGGAACACCTGTGTGCGTGTCTGCAAATATCTTTTTATGACTTCCATGTGCCAGGGTTTCTGCGCAGTTAGGGGGGTGTGTGTAACAAGGGGTACACTTGTCTTGGGTACAGATGCACCAAGATGGAAGAATACTATAATTACATTAAAATATAGTATTATTCTATTCTCTCTTCTAGGTGTAATTATCAACACTTATTATTATCTCGGAAGTAGTGCAAATATCTTCCTTGCACTGCATCAGGGAATAATTTCCACCAATAACACTGTGCATCAAGATGTAGAAAATCATTGTGTATGATAGGAAGAAAACAAATATGATTGAGTCCAGGTAACTTTTCACTGAGCAACTTGAAAAATACCATATTTCTAATGCATGCTCACAGGAGGACCATTAGCACATTTAATAGAAAGTAACAACAGTGGGGCCCCAATAAACAATTTTTCAAAAACCCTTGGTATTCAAAACATGTGCCCCAACATCCAAATAATATATCTAGATAAAGACATTTTGCTGAAATTTCTCGAATAATTGAGAAATTTATTCAAGGCATAAAAACTAAATTTGTATGCCTTGAAATTTGAGCAATTTCTTTGCTATAAGGTATGTGCATAATATAAAGGGCCTTTAACCCTTGCACAGTGGAGGTTTCCTGGCCATCCAATGGCAAAGTAGGGATTTTTTCCTTGAAAAAAAAGCAAGATGTCCTAGAATTCTGAAGGGCATGCTGCTGTTTCTCCTGATTCTCATCACCACCTGTCTGATGGCTGGTAGCCTCTTTTTTTTTTACTTGAAGGGGATAAAACAGCAGGGAGGGAAGATTGCATCATTTAGACCAGTTTGCAACTGGGATACAGTAGAGCCTCTTTTGGGAACTGCTGCATCCTGGAACTGCACTGAAAAGCGCTTTCTCAGCATTTATGATGACAGTGGTTGGTATGGACACAGCATGAGGCTGCTCAATATCCTGCTGGCATACCAGTACCTACTAAATAGTTTTCCCAGCACCAAATACTGTATAACTACACTGTATTGATGCCAGGAGACATATTGCAGCACCTGTGCCAACTGTTTGACATCCCTGCTGACAGTGCTGGGATTGTGTGGCCTCAGGAACCCATCAATTTTCTTCACCAGTGCCCTGTCGACTTTCATTCAGAGAGGGTGCACATTAATAGTTTCCAAATTGACTGGTCTCATGTGGTAGGAGTCGTAGGACTCAACCTGGGGGTGAAACCATGACACATGTCTTGCATGCAACCCAATCTAACTCAGGATCTTCACAAGGATCTTTTCAAAATTAAGCCATATTGGGATTCTCAGGCAGATTTCATCCTTTAGAACCTGACTCAAAACATGACCAACATCACCACCTCCACAACAGGTAAGTATTCCAAGCTTGCCAGTGTTCACATTTGACACACAGACTATTTGCAAGGGTTTCAGAAGAATGGCATCCCAGTCCTATGATATTCAGGATGCCATGCAGTGCTTTGCCCATCTCTAAGGCAAAACTATTTGTCTGTTTGTCATTGATAATCATGAAGCCTAATTTTTATAGTTTGATGTGTCCCTGTGTCAAAATTTCCCATGTTTTAGGGTTTCTGTGTCTCAGAGCCAAACTGTTTTTTTCTGTCAAGGAGTTCTCATTCATGTTACAGTATATTGTACGTTCTTCTGTTCTTCAGGACATCAAAGGGTTTTCATCTTATTCATTCACTCACTCTCTACCTTGTTCATTTAGGATATATTAGCAGTGCCTTTCTTTTACATCGAAATGCCGCAACCAAACTTTCACTTCTTTATCCTAGATATTATGTAGAACTGTGGAAGTGAGAAGAAATTGTTCCATTGTTGAATGAATGAATGAACAGAAAGCTTCATTTTCTGCTTTTCAGCATTCACAAGGTTCAATCAACATTTCCACATCCAACCCCCCTCCCCACTCAACCCAAATCCATTCACAGACATTCAATCACTTCAGAGGGAGAAACAGAGAAATTATATGCAAATGGATAACAAGAATAAAAGAAAATACATTCCACAAAATACAACTGCACAACTGATATGTATGCATACACACCTTCTTTCTCTGACATTGAAAACAAAATATCAGTAACAATAATTCCAACGTTGGATTTGAACTTATTTCCATGCAGTGAGATCCTTGAAAAATGTACAAGCAAAAGTAAAGCATAGTCTTACATCTAATATTTTCTTCACATTAAAATATAAAATGCAGCCAATGATGGACAACTTTGTAAAACCTTGCCTTTTTTCCTAAATTTTCACTTAGACAGAACATGGAAAGCTGCCAAGTGAATTCCTCCTTTAGGAAATATGCAGTAATACTAATTCAAGTAGTTTCATGAAAGTGAGTAAACTTTCCTTATAATGTGCTAATTGATGTACAGTACTATCCTTTTTCACCCACTGCTTCACAGCAGGTTTTTGAGAGGTAAGAGTGTGTCAGGAGGAAAAGCTCTGAATCAAACCTGTCAGAAGTTATTCCCAGGAAATCCCTCCATCAGGTGAGTCCCAAAAAGAAAATTTCGATGCCCTTGGAAAATTTTCGCCGGCTTCATCCTGCTCCTTGTTATCGTTGTTATGCCCCCTACTCTACTCCCCCAAGTGTTTTACTCTCCTGTTGAAGGATTTATTNGTATGCATACACACCTTCTTTCTCTGACATTGAAAACAAAATATCAGTAACAATAATTCCAACGTTGGATTTGAACTTATTTCCATGCAGTGAGATCCTTGAAAAATGTACAAGCAAAAGTAAAGCATAGTCTTACATCTAATATTTTCTTCACATTAAAATATAAAACGCAGCCAATGATGGACAACTTTGTGAAACCTTGCCTTTTTCCTAAATTTTTACTCAAACAGAACATGGAAAGCTGCCAAGTGAATTCCTCCTTTAGGAAATATGCAGTAATAATAATTCAAGTAGTTTCATGAAAGTGAGTAAACTTTCCTTATAATGTGCTAATCGATGTACAATACTATCCTTTTTCACCCACTGCTTCACAGCAGGTTTTTGAGAGGTAAGAGTGTGTCAGGAGGAAAAGCTCTGAATCAAACCTGTCAGAAGTTATTCCCAGGAAATACCTCCATCAGGACAGTCCCAAAAAGAAAATTTCGATGCCCTTGGAAAATTTTCGCCGGCTTCATCCTGCTCCTTGTTATCGTTGTTATGCCCCCTACTCTACTCCCCCAAGTGTTTTACTCTCCTGTTGAAGGATTTATTATTTCCTTGGATTGGAAAATCAGGTTTTCGAAAGGCACATATAGAGAGACAGAAATAAGGGAGCGAGGCAGAGTAGAGCTGCGTTTTCTGCCGTTTTCCCGGAAGCTTGAAAACAAAACAAAAAAGTTTCCATCAAGCTGACAATATGATGAAGATTGTAAGGGAGCATGAGTGAGGTCAGGTTATTCCCCATGAAGCGCCGCATTGTTTCAGACGCTTCCACGAGGAGTTCTGAAGCTGGTGCCCTTCGGACGCCGGTCAAACGGCGGCAAGACATTCCCCCGGCCAAGTATATCATCAATTTTCATAATTATTCTCCATGAAGCGCCGCATTGTTTCAGACGCTTCCACGAGGAGTTCTGAAGCTGGTGCCCTTCGGACGCCGGTCAAACGGCGGCAAGACATTCCCCCGGCCAAGTATATCATCAATTTTCATAACGCAATAATACTGTTTAATGAAATGAAAACAATTAATAAATAAATAAATGGATGAATAATAAGAAATGAAGATCCCAGTGAGCAAGAACATATCTGCTCATTGTCTTGAAGTTAGCCAAGCCAACTTATCCCAGAACCTTGCCAAAATAAGACAATATTTGGACAATACTTGTATGAAAATCAGACAACTTTTCCAATTTTCATCCAAGAGTCATCCAATGGACAACTGCTTTTAGATGACTTTTGAATCCAAAAAAGACAAGTTTTGAAGGGATATGGAGCATCTTTGGATATAAAAAAGACACGTCCAATTTTTATCCAAAAGATGTCCCAGTTACCTCCAGCATTTAGCATTTTTATATGAATAATTTCTCTTGCAGGCAAGTCCAAACTTGTCTGCCAACATTTCTATGTACTGTAAATTGGCAACAGTATTCCATTCACAAAATATCCATATTGTGCTGAAATGGTGTGTTATTGGGTTTAAAAGATATTCCCTGAATTAAATTCAAGTTGCAAACATTTTTTGTCATGAAATTCCAAAGAATATTTCTTCCATAAAGCACTAATTTAAATTTATATAATGTTAGACTACGGGAAAACAAGACTTAGCTTAGGGGCATTTCAACTTGGATAAACTCTTGATGCACAAACCATGTCCACATCTGGGGGCTCATTGTATTTGGTTTTGCATTGCATGTGACAGAAGTTTTTAACAATGAAAATCTCTCCACAGTGCTTCTTACAGTTCTTCAAATTTTCTTGCAGAGAGAGTACACCTGTATATGCAGTATTTTCTTTCAAACAAATAGATTTACTATTAAAAATCATTTTCTCAATTAATGAACCTTACTTATAAAACCTGTTATAATGTTTCTTTTTTATTTTCTGAATAAATTCCCATGTCATCTCACATTTTAAAGGTTGAAATCCAGATTCTTATTAGTCCTTTCCAAAGTCTAAGAAAAAATCAATTGAAAAGGATTGAGGAAAAGCCTGGAACAAGGAAAAGGTGGAATCTTTCCTTGGATTTTTTCACCTGATTGCCTTATAAACTCATACAACACATTACATTTTGGTCATGTGCAAATTCATATTGAAGACTCAAACTGTAGAATCATCAATTTGATTTGATTGTGGAGAGGAGTTAGCTCCTGAATTCAGTTCTCCTTACCTGAGTCCCCTTGCAAAATATAATACAGAATTATTAATTGGTTTTTTTATAATGTTCATTTAAAGTAATCTCAATTCCTGAATGATGTGAATTGAAACTCCAGTTTGTCAACCAGCTCTGTGACATGTGATTTTTTGAAGGCGAAAAGATGGCGGCAGTGCAGGCGATTTCATCATTAAGGATCCATATGAGAAACGTTCCCATTCACCTGGGCTCAAGAATCCTGGGGGAAATGTCCCAGTTCCACCGCAGGCAGCTTTGGAAAGCATGAGCAAGTTCTGGAAATTTCTAGAAAGTGCTCATGATGGAAACAAAGGCTGGAGTGGGATCTCCAAACTTGCATGCTCTTTGCCTGAAAATGAGTTCAAGGTTGGAATTTTTTCAAACCACATATTACCTTTATTTTTCCCAGGCAGGGTACCAAAATCCCAGCCAGGTTCAGTAGAGCTTCAGAGAATTTAATTTGGCAGTTGCAGTTATTTCTGAAAGTCTGAGTTTTCCCTCTGTGACCTTCAATCTAATATGGTCAATGTTCCAGCTCAAACTTTCATTGAGCATCTCTGGATGAGTGAGGGAACACCCAGTCCTGTGAATTAAAAAAGTCAGCAATGAAGATTTTTTAAGAGTCAATTTTCTCATTCAGGTGAAAAAGATGGCAGGACTTTTCCCATCTTTACCCTACACATACAATCATGCTTTTTTCAAGTGTGCCCTCAAATCAGTGAAGTATGAACAAAAAATATTTGCACTGAAAGTATAGCTGCCTTTTTTTTTTACATCCTCCTATTCCTGCATGAGCATTGGCATGGGACTCACATGAGTAACCTGATGCTATCTCTAGAAATATGCCTTGACTTCTCTGGTTTTAGCATATTCTTCATTCTGGATAGGGCATTTTTCTGGACACTAAGTGAGTTATTGGTGCTATGAAGGCATGTCACTTATGAGAGCACAGCAATAAGGACAGAGATTTGTTAAATGAGAGTTTGTGGCACTTTGTGGGGACAGTACTAAATTGGTGGGTACTCAATCAAGTTTGAAATGTTCAATAAAATGGAGAAGTTTTTTCAATGTTTGTGGATGGTATCCATTGTAAATAATTGCACCATGACTGACAATAAAATTAAAAAGAGAATTGATATTGCCCTGAAGGTATCATGATCTCTAAATTTAACACCTCTTAATTGAATGTTATGCGATGAATGCGCCTTTTTCTCTTACTTTTTTGCTTTTGCATTAATTATCCAGGATAAGTTGTGGAAGGCGTACCGGAACCAAGTGGTGCCCTTGGAGATGGCGACCCCGACCTGCAGCAAGCTGTATGGGGAAGTGTTGACGAAGGCGGACTTGGCGGCGGCGCCGCTCCTGATGGTGGTGGCGCAGCACGAGCGCCTCCACAAGGACGCCTTTGTTGCCAAGCTCGTGGACGCCGACGTGTTCCCCACGGACGCCCCTTTTTGGGACACCAAATTCGTGTTTGTCACGCATGAGCAAAATACGAGGACGCACAGGCCTACTCCGAGGCGCCCAAATCGCGGAAAACTTCGTGAGGCATTCTTCTGATTTTTGACATAATTCTTCAAGAAAAGTGCTGAAATATTTTAAATGACACTAAATTCATGCAATTGAATTCATGGATTTTTTTTTCAAAACAAGGACTGAATATATATGTCAACAAAATGGGAGAATTTTATTCAGTCCTAAAAATCAATGCATATGTTTTTGGGATGCACCAAATACAGGTGTTAATCTGCAATTTGATCATCCAACAGTTTGATGGTCAAATTTGCTGAGATGATGACTTGCAATTTGGCCTGCAGAGAGGCTTAAAATGTCAAATTCAATGTAGAAAATATCTTATTTGACATTGTCTGACACTTTGAACATTTGGATCAGATGAAAGAAAAATGAGCCCAGCATTACTCATTTTAAAAAGGGTTTGTATGCTTGAGAAATGCTATTGATGTAAAAATTGTCAGAAATTTTGACACATTAACCCTTACACATCTTTGCAGGAATTGCTTTAAAAACTTTGAGTGGAGAAAGCGTGCTAGTATTTACCTGTTATTCAGAGAATCTGTTTTTATTATTATTGACAATTACATTTCTTTTTGAAGATCCATTTTTTAACCACAGATGTTGAATATATGCAGGTGTAATTTGAAGAAAATCTTCCAATCAGTCATTAATTTTAAAAATCTCATTATAACACATTCTTTGTTATAACCAACTTTTTCTGAAGTCCCCAAAAGTTTGTTGTAATGAGATTTTACTGTACTGTAGTTACAACTGAGGGGGAAATGAGAAAAAAGGGAAAAATGGACATGAAAAACATGAGAACCCACTTGATGTCATCTTCTTAAAAATACTCATAGCCATTCTGTGTTATGATTGAAATATGAAAGTAACATGCTGTTGTCTGATATTAAATAAACAACTTCAGATCGAATATATATAAAAGAATATATTTTATTCACAACCAAATTTGTTCAAGA